AGGGGGGGGGGGGAGAAAGTCTCTAAATTTGGCCCGCAATATCAATTATGCAAAACACTCAGAATAACACTCCATAGACATTCTTTCAGGATGTTTGCCAAAAAGAATCTAAGGCACCTTACGGATGGTAAGCCGTGGAGAAGGTTCGATGCTGGCTCTCCAATATAAAACACGCACTCCGAAGGCAAGAGTTGTTGTGGGGTTTTGTTTTATTTTTCTACACAACTGGGAAACATGCCATCCCCCCTCCCAAAGTGAGCCCCCAACGCTTTTCTAATTTTCGTTTTCTGCAAAAAAACAAAACAAATCTTTTGAGGCCTTACATTGGTCCAGTGGGATTAGGTTTAGATGGAAAAATCTGAATTTATGGGAGTGCAATTTGCAAATTTATTTATTTGCGCAGTTTATACTCCACCTTTCTCCTGAACTCCCAACCATACAGCCAGAGACCTAAACCACTGAGCCAGCCAGCCAGCACCTTCTCACAGTCTCCATTACTCTATTCTTTAGCGAGGTTTTAGGCTGCGTTAACAGAAGTATAGTTTCTGAATTCCACGAGGTGCTAATTCTCTTCTATTCAGCACTGGTTAGGCCTTGAGTCTTGTGTCCAGTTCTGGACACCACATTTCAAGAAGGATGCTGACAAATTGGAACAAGTGCAGAGTTCAGAGGAGGGTGACAAGGAGGGAGGAAAGGCTGAAAGAACTGGGCATGCTGAGAAAAGAAGACTGGGGGGGAGATAGGATAACACTTTTCAAATACTTGAAAGGCTGTCATACAGAGGAGGTGCAATATCTGTTCTCGATCATCCCAGAGTGCAGGACACGCAACAATGGGCTCAAGTTACAGGAAGCTAGATTTTGTCTGAATATCAGGAAAAACTTCCCAACCGTTAGAGCAGTACGACAATGGAACTAATGACCTCGAGAGGTGGCGAGCGCTCCAACACTGGAGATATTCAAGAGAAACTTAGACAACCACCTGGCAGATATCCTTTAATTTGTATTCCTGCATGGAGCAGAAGGTTGGACTTGATGGCCTTATAGGCCCCTTCCAACTTCATGATTCTAAAATTTTATTATTCTAAGGTT